CCGGCATTTATTGTACTTCTAGGCACAACAAAAAAATTAAACAGCACCTTCTAAGGTGTTTCTTTTTATTTACCTATACTTACGTGTTTACACTCAGCCTTCTTCTTCTTCAGCTCATTACAAAAATTAGAATTGCTGAAGCCAGCATAAAAATATATTTTGCTTCAGTTTGAGGACTACATTTGTTTTGTTTCCAGTACAAATAAACTGAGATTAAAATGCAATTCTACTGTTGTGTGCCTGTGGGGTAAAGAAGAGATTCTGTGCAACTGAAGCTGAGCTTCTGTTCAGAATGTATATGAAAGGAGGAGATATTGCATGAGCTTGTATGTATGAGTGCGACTCTATGTGTGTTTCCACAAGGCAGTTTTGTTCCAGGGAGTCCAGTTAAGAGACAGTATAGAGCTGAACTCCATAGATTCAGAAATGATTTTTTTTTCTGACATGAAGGTCATATAGAACTCTATCACTCTTCCCATCAACCCTGTTTTTTGGTCTATGCTAAACTGAACATCCCCATAACAGGATACTGAACTCACTATGTTTCACCATAGTGTGTTTCCTACATGATGTGTGCTAGTCTACCAACTTCTAATGGAATTATTTCAACAAGCTGAGGATCTCTGCAGCTCCTCCAGAGCTATAGATGGACAGCCATATTATGATTGGTTTGAAGTTGTAGCATACTCCTGACTATTTAACTTTTATAATATGTTATATAGGGTTACTGTATTGTAAGGGACTAAATCCATGCATGTCATACTTGTCTGTGTTGGTCTATTACAAAAACTGTCAATGATATGCAGTGACATTTTTTTTATTTTTTATTCCCAAATACATTTGATTGGGTATCAGCCCTTGCTTAATATAAAGAAAAGTAGAACAATAAAATAAAAGTAAATAAAATGTGTGAAACAAAAAAAAAATCAAGAAAATAAAAAGAGGCAGTGAATCTGGCTATGGCTTTCCTCATTAGTCATGCAGAGCATCTTGGCTCCTCTCCCACACCTCCCGGCTCATCATCGCCTGGGCCCTGGCTGCCAGCGCACCCCCACCTCCATGAGCCATCCCTCCTGCCACATTTTCCCAATCCCTCCCTCCCTTCGCTCCCATCCCCTATAATCACACCCGCAATCACAGTCTCTAATTAGGTTAATTAATTTGTATCAGCCCTTGTAGGGACTTGGCTGATGAGGCAGCCATAATAGCGTCAGCAACTCCTTCCCGCAAAAAAAAAAAAAAAAAAAAAAGAAAGGGGGATGAGGTTGGGAGAGTAGACAAAGATCTGATGCAAGACTATAAACCAGGGGGTCACATTTTTATCCCCCGTCCCCCAGCCCCTCTCGCATATCTCCCCCTGGCTTTGTTATTCAAACGGGGTGACACTGACACCTAAACAGTGATATATAACCCATCCTATCACAATGTGCCGCTCCGTCCACTGGAATGAAAACGTTCCGTGTAATAATAATTGAGTTTGGATCTTTCCAGTAAAACAGTACTTCTCTGCATTTATCACCGTATTGTTCTGCTTGTTTGTTTACACTTCTTCCATGGTGTTTTCAGGAGCGGATAACCAAAAAGGGGAAGGGGGGGACAAAACTGTATGATAATGATTCTCTTGCCAGTTTGTCTGCGTAAGTAGTCAGAGATGCCGATCGAAGCATCGCATTACAATCAGCGGCCCTCGTCGCCCCTCATCAGGCCACTGACGAACAAACTCTGATTAACACAACCATCTGATTACTGCAATCACCCAGCTAACCACGCACGAGCGCTGTCCCCCTGCCAGCGCACGCACACATTCATCCTAACACCACGGTGCTATCGGTGCAGACGCGAAACAGCTCTCATCATGCATTGTCACACAATTCCCATTAGAGAAGTGAAGGTTAGAGAAACACACTAAAAACTTTGAGTTGGGGTGGATTAAGATGCTGAGAATATTACAAAGGAGTGAAAAGGGGCATGACAAACCCACAGCTTACTGTATAAACTTGTCCTCTTGTGTGTTTTATTTAAATCCCTGATTTCTTTTGAAACTCCATAAATACCAGTCCTCATGTGAAGGAAATGTTGCGATGCATGTTGACGCATGCATAAATATACATACATGCAATCTGAGGCAGACAATGACACAAGGAGGCTGCAAGACAAGGACAGATCCGGTAGTTAAAGCGTAATGAACACGTCCCCAAGGCACGAACCTGGCATTCCCCTGAATGATGGACTGACAGTAATGCCGAGGCAGATGGGTGAGCTCCACGCCCCGTTCAACACCACACACACGTACACACGCATGCACACTGGTGTGTACACGCACCCTCCCCCTGGTGCATCCTGGGCCTCTCTCCTGCAGAGAGATACCCCCTGTAGGTCTGATGGGGAGGAGGGGGCGTAGCAGGGGTCCTGTGTGTATAAATGTGAGTGTGTGCACATCTAGAGGTGGGGTGCACAAGTATGAGGCCCCTGTCATGATTTAGGCTCCCATGCAAATTTAATCAATTCGAGTACCTCTCGCCAGCCAGGGCTCATTAGCGGCAATTTAAAAAGGAGGCTCTGTGATCCCCACCTCTTCGCAAGAGCCAGACTTTTAACTCGGGCATCCACATGCAAACCCACACAAACATGCTATGATACATATTGATATCCACACACACATGCACACATAAAAAAGGCATGCACATCAGGGGCACTGTCAAGGCCGCAAAGATTTTCCTTCAGACATCTTCCCTCTGGCATGGAGAAAGACACTGCCTCTTCCTTCCCCCACTCTTCTGTCCCTACTGTCTTTCCACAACTTCAAAAGCCCCATGACACCCAGCTTTAACTTAAAGGAGAGAAGGGATTCACAGATAAATACTAGCTCTCATCGTCCCTTTGGAACCCCCCTAACACTAAAATCCCATGCTACCTCTCGTCTCCTCACCTCTCGTTCTTCAGCTCTCAGTAATTGGGGGATCGATTAGCACTGTCCTTAACCATCCTTAACCTCAGATCAGTATGCAGGGCAACCTGGTGGAGGAGCTGGATGAAGGTGCTGCACTTGTGATTTTCAGAGGAGCAAGTGCAAGGTTAAAATAGTGTTGGAGAACTACGTTTTTATATCATTTATGAGTGAGAAATAGAAGCACAACTCATTATCTGTATATAAATATACACGCACACCAGTTTGTTGAGGTCAGTATGTGTAAAAAAAACCTTTACCTTACAGGTTTCCCATAGGATTTAGATCTGGTAGGTGAAAAGCAGACTGATTTGTGTTTTGGATTATTAACCTATTGAAATACCAAATTCAGATTTGCTTTTAGTTTTTTGTTTTTTATCAGACTAAACCAATTTTTACCTTTAGATGGCATCATATTTTTTTAAGTTAATGATAACATCCTTGCAAGGTTCCCAGACCCACAGCTTCACACATCCTCCTCTGTACCCAACAATGGGTATGAGGAGGTGGTCCACCTGAACAAAGCACAGTTTTGTAGTTCAGTAAACTTTACATGTTATGTTTATTTAAGACCACAGAAAGTACTTGTTCCTGGCATGTCTCTCAGAAAACTGACAGACAGGTATATAGTCTCTGATAGTTACTGAGACTTAGTGACTTGGTGTCCCCAATGTGTCACACAGTAAGCCATGGCTTACTACTTGTTTTTTTGCCTCCCTTACCATTCTGCTCCATGTGCATGGTGGCAAGTGGCTAAAAGAAATGGTCCCTCTGTTTTGTGTCATATTTTCCCCCCAGGGAAACAGAAACTTGTAGATTCTTAAGCAGAAGTGCCTTGAGTTCACGTTGAGTTTAACTTATTTTGAAAGGAAACTTATTTTTCTTGTTACAAGCAAAACCCCCCTTGTTGGCAGAAAAATAAAAAGTAAAAAATTGCTCAAAAAAGGTTGGATTTTCCTTTTTTGTTTTTGTACTTTTTGCTTTGGACGTTTTTCTTTTTTCTTATTACACATCTTCACCAAGGAGATGACACATTTATTAGCATCTATAAGAGATTTGGTTTTATTCACATAGTTGCCTGCTTTAGTTCAGATACACTGTTCAGAGCACTCTAGAAAATCTGATAGTTGTCATAATATTCAAACATTTCCAAACTGCAAGCAGTTTACTCTTATTTTTTTAACTGTAGTGGTGCCACAAGACTGGGCAAACAAAACTAATTTCGGGCTCTGAAGGATGCAAACAATAAATCTCAATGTAAGAACTTGTGACATTTCAACTGAATAATACAATACTAAAAATAAAAAAAAGCTTTAAAGTGTGAATTTGGACTATCATATTCTCTAACACCTACATTTGGTGAACAAAGCTCTTTTGTTCATTACTTCCTCTTAACCAGGCTACACTTTCCCTTTTCAAAAGTACCAGGGTCAATGTCATACCCTGCAGCAGTGCCGTTAATACTCTGTCCTCCACTTCCAGTTCCCACTCAAAAAAGTGACTATTCGTTAACAAACCTCACGGATCATTAACTTTAGAGATGGCATATGGGATGGAAAAATGGCCTGTGCGAGCAGCCAAATGAGTTATGAGGTCTACGACAATGGAAGGAATGCCTGTTTATATCTTTAAAATCAGAAGGTCACACTCTGCCCACCCCTGAGCTCTGCCACTGCACCCCAGCGTAAGAGCCCCTTCGGTGGAGGAGGGAATAAAAGAGCTTGAGAAGAGACAGAGGCCTGTCTGTGCTAAGGTCTCATAGTCAGGGAGGGGTCCCGGAACTGCGCATACAGTGTTTTGACCCCTGGGCTCCTCTTAACGACCTACACCCCCTCAGCTTACGGACAGTGGGCCCGGGGGTCCTGGTTCACGCACGCTCTCTCGGCATCATGACGCAGTATCACAGGACAAGCTGAGAATGTGATTCACTAACGCATTCAGGATACATCAGGTCTGAAATGAATGATCGAGTTCTGGGACATGGAAGTAAAGCTCTCCAGTGTCTGTATAATTCAATTTAAACATTTAAATAACCACTTGCTCGCAGGTTAAATGATTTGTTTTCAAGCTTTCAATGATTTCAAAGCTGATGGCTTTAATTTAAAATTTAAACAGCTACACAAGGTGAACAGTGGTTCATCCTGAGCTGTTTGTCCGTTGCCCTCTCTCCTTCCTTTCCTTTCAGTGTCTCCCTGTTGAAGGTGATGGATGGGCTTTGCTTATGAAGCTGGTGAAACCACAATGAACAGTCAAATCAGCTTCACTGTGATCTGCTGCTGGGAGCCAGATCTTCAGTGTAGTCTCCAATTTCAACACCACACAGAAGTGTAAACACATCCCACATATGGGATGAGTTGTTGATAGTTTAGTTGTTTTGCTCTATCTATAATATCCTGAAAAGTTTTTTTTTCTATATAAAAAACTAAATTTTTGGCAGCAGTTACATGTTTTTGAGGTATCTCTCTACCAGTTTTGCACATTGAGACACTGAAAGGTTTGCCAGTTTGTCTTTGCAAATTAGCTTATGCTCAATCTGATTAAATGGAGGGCATCTGTATTGTGCAGTTTCTATTTATTATCAAAATTTATAATGTGGATTTAGATCTAAACTTTTCCTGGATGTTTAGATGATGTATTGAACAATGCCTCATCAGATGTTTAAAGCTTGGCATATTGTTTTTTATTTTAACTCTACTTTACACTTCTCCCTCATATATCAGTTGTGTTTCTTGGTTGGTGTGATGCTGTTTGCTCTAAAAAGCCACATTTCCACATGTACCAACACAGTTTAACTTGATTTCAGGGCACCAGCTCCTTTTATCTACTTGGCCAAGGTTCTAAGCAAGCTGAATTGAAGCGAAAATACAACTTCAGAAAAGTAAAAATCACTGATTGGCACCACTGGTAGGGTCGTGAATGTGACTTAATTTCCAGAAACAAACCCATCATTTATAAAACTTTCAACAGCAACTGAGCAAGACCTGAAGGAAATGGCAGAATGGGCCATTGAAAAGGTGCAATTTTTGTGCATCTGAAAAACTCAGATGGTTATTTATCAAACACAAATCATATTAACTTACTTATTGAACTATCTTGCTATGGCCCAAAACACAACGTGGTGGTAATCCACTGCAATTGAACGTGACTGCACCAGTATAGAATCAGAAAATGAGAAAAACAGAAAAAAACTACATCTGGTTAAGGATTTTTTGCACTGATTTTCTCATATTTAGATTAAAATATGTAAAGACTACTAAATAACTCTATAGGGTTAAAATAAATATTTAAGGTGTTTAAAATGTAAATCACGAAAGTAACATCCTGGGTTCCTCTCTCTATAATTATTAGATAGATTTTTTTTAGTCATAGAACACTAATGCCCCCTAGTGGTAACTTAAAATATATTTCCACCATTTAAGCACCTCATATGATCAGATTGCATCTTTTCAAACTCAGCCCAGGGCAGCTTCAGAAATCATCCACTTGTTCTCCAAAATATGAAAACTCAGACATTTGTAAGCTAAGCCAACAACTTTTCTCACTGAATTACTTGAATGAGAAATTTATTTGCATTTACATTTTCATTTGAAAAAACTAAAATATTTGCATAAATATGCACTACATGGCAATATTCCCAACAGTTTGGTGAAAAAAATTCTTTCTCTTCTGGATCTCCTGGGATCAAAGGTGAGTTCAGTACTTTGTAGGCATCCTATCCAAAAACTAACTTGGTCCTCAGTTGTCCTTTCTTAGCGTTTCCTCTTGGACTCAAACTTGTAAATGGCTGCTCTGTCAGTTGTCTCCTTCTTTACCTTCACTTTCTTGTTTTTATCCTGGAGCCAAAGTAAACAAAATATAGAAGAATAAATATGTTGACAATAAGGATTCTGGTGTTCAAGTGTTTAGCACTACTCACCTGTAGGTCTTTACGGGACTGGATTTTCTGGCTGATGACAAACATTTTCTTTTCTCTGTCAATCCTCTGAGAGAGGATTTTATACTGATGCTTCCTCTGCTTGGCCAGTTTCTACAGGTGAAGCAAACATAAGGGATTTTTACCTTACTGGGCTCAACAGAAAAATAATTAACCAAAACACTGAAGAAAGGTGACAAGGAGTTGTCAGTCAATAGTACATGTGAATTTTTAGTCAAAAAAACAAAAAAACAAAACTAAAACACAGTAAAAACTAACGTTAATAATATCTGGTTTCACAGCTCCTTTGATGCTTTTGGTCTCCAATGTTTGCAGAGTTGGTCTGTTGTACACTCGATCCACCAGCTTTGGATCAGTACCAAGGTGGCTGGCCAGGTTAAATGTTTCCACTGAGGGCACAAAAATAAAAGCTAAAAAATGATCTTGCATAATCAATTCTGCAGAACTGTTTATTCTACACAACCTAAGTGAGCAGTAATCATCTTCCAAGCAATCACTATTCAAATCTTTATCTATTAAACCTCTGTACTTACCTTCCTTTTTGGAATCAACAAAAAAGGTGTGTTTGTTCTTGTGTTTGTTCTCTGCATCCAGAAGATGAAGCTCTCCTTTCAGTCTTTCTATTTTCTGGAAAGAAGGCATTATTATCAGGGATATGTTTAAGCCATCTGTCTTAAATCGTGCATGCATTCTATGTAATCCTTCAGTAGCTTGTCAACTGCACCTTCTGAGTTTCAAGAAATTAAAAGGTATTAAGCTTTACAATACTCACACGGTCACAGATATGCCTGTTTCCTATGCACTGTTTTTCTTCCACTCAACTTTTTAGTAATACAGTTGGATCTTGTGACTTACTCTTCCTGTGGAGTGCATCAGACTACCGACATAACTAATGTAAAATCAGAGATTTTTGTCATAATTGTGTAGCTTATATCCTGACTGTAACATTGGTGTATTAAAATATTTGTATTGGTCTCATGTAATTTTTTTAATTATCTGTTGGATTTAATTTATTTAGTAAATGTACATCATAAATGAATATACTTTATTAATACCAGAAGGGAACTCTCACTATAAACTGCAGTTTTATTATTATTACTTTTACATAATTACATTCCCTTTATGACAATATTTCATTTTATTGTAGTACAACAGTACTGCTCTTTGTGGAAATAACCAGAGAGGCAAATGCATACCTTTGCCTCTGCAACCCGTTTCATCTCCACATATCTCATGTCCTGAGTCCTCATCATTTTCTTCTGCTCCTCCGTCACTTCCTCCTCAGTTTTCTTCATCACATGAACTCCATCCTGTCAGTATGACAGAACACAGCACACAACTACTGTGTCAGATCCAGACATGGAGGAATCTATATAAAATGATTAAAACTATGCTGAACTACTTCTGACCTCCAGTTTGGAGCTGATCATGTTGAAGTAAAATTCATCTGGGTTTTTCTCCAGAGCTTTCTTTCGCAGAGCAGCGAGAGTGTTTTGTTTCTTGTGATAATCCCTATAACAACATCAAAAAGCACAGTGATAAGCATGTTTTGTATTAGTTTTAACCATAAAAAGGAATAAAACAGAACTTACTCTGCTCGTAGCTTGTAGTCTTTCTTCTTCTCCAACAAACCCATAGTTTTCCTAAAACCAGGCTGGTTGGACAAATTGAAGCCATTAATACGAATTTAATATTACTAGTAATGCGTCTTGAAACGAAAACACAACCACAAATTCTTAAATTTGAGTATAAACGCTTAGCTAACCAAGAGAACATTTAAATGTTTACCTGAGATCTCTCATGGTGGTTTCTCTGTCGGGACTTAAGCGCTTTTCTAAATGAAGACATCTTTAGTCGATGTTCACAGACCGAAAACCTCCTAAAAACCGTCAAAATAGATAAATGCTGTTTCTTTATTTGTGAAGCTAAGAAAGAAAGCTAACTACTACGCAAGCTCTGTTACTTCCTGTGAGCACGTGGGTTCCTGCCTGACTCAAGGCGTGTTTCTCATTTCCTAACCACAGATTCGCTACTTTACAGCACAACTTTACAAAAGAGAAACCGAACGGATAATGAAATTTCAAATAAATGCTATTTTTTTATTTATATTTATATTATTACTTACTTAAATAAAAGACAATACAGAACAATAAATGTTTTTTGGGGTTTTTTTCCCTTTCGTCAAATTGCTGTGGTATTCGTTTGTGGGTATTGCAGATAAGTATAAGAACACCAGAGGGAGCTGTTGCATAGAACATTAAAACTTTAGACACGACGCTTTCTAAGCTTGGGTAATTTATAGCTTTGGCAACTGTTATTTAATGTATAGCCTTTAATTTTTGTAGTCAACGTCTTATAATCAAGAATCACTAAGTGTAAGTATAGTGCTGAAGTATGTGTTGCATCCTTTACCTATGTCCATGTTTTAAATTCTCCTGTACACAAGTATGTTATTTAATTAAGCTCTTAAATCCTAATAGCTGTCTGCCCCTTTTCCTGCTGGTCTTAGGAAAGACTGAACTCACTTTTCACAATTCAGAAACCAAACGCAAATCACCAGTTGTTTTTTTTTGCTTGTTTGTTTGTTTTTGTGTTTGTTAGTTTTTTTTTTTGTTTTCTAATAGATTAGAATGCTGATATTTTGTTTTCTATCAAACCTTTTCATAAACTGTTGATTTTTGTTTTTTGTTGTTTTTGTGCCATAAGCAAACTAAGCTATTGTTATGGGCCCCAAAGTCCATGAGGGGCCTCCCATCAATGCTTTAATCTCAGGCAATAGATGTAATATTTTCATTTTTTTTATTGAAAATTAAAATACTGTTTAATTTGGTTTAATATTTGTTTATATATAAATAAAAAGATTAACAAACGTTTAAGGTAACTTGCAAGTGTACTTTGTGATAGTGTATAGAATATTCATTCTTTGTTGTTGTGTGAGCATAGTTACAATCACGTCATGTCTTTAATCTTTCACATGTTTTTTGGTTTGTACACAAATACTCACAATGTACTTAAAATAAACATTAACTCCAATTCAATTTTTGATTAAGGCCCCAAAGCATTAAACTGTCTATGCCATGTTCTATTGAGTGAAATTGTGTTCTCTGAGTTTCCATCAAATGTGATATTTTGAATTTAGGCTCAAAAGTTCAGTATAATCTCATCTCACCAAAGCACCTTCTTCCTCTTGCTAATGGGGTACCATGCATGGCCTTCTGTAAACCACATACTGGACTCACCATGACTTTCATTTAACCCTTATTTTTTTCTTGCCACTTTTTGTATGAAAGTCAAACGTATAGAGGAGACTCTGCAGATCCTCCTTTTAAAATTACCATGACTTCACTTTTCAATGATTTTTTAAATATATGTTTTAACTTCTATTGAATTGTCTTTATCATTGAAGAATGGATTCATTGTTGTGTTCATTTGTGTAAAACTCTTGCTGTAGAGTTAAACTACAAAGTGGCATGCAAACAAAAATTGTGAGTGTAAGTTAAATTCAACTTACTGACTTTTACTTCACACTGCAGGAATAGTATGCTAGATTCAACATTTGCAGCTCTTTTGCAACAACTGGATCTCCAATTTTTATAATAATATATCTGTGTAATAAAAACATATTTACTTCATTACTTAATAATGCAAACCATTAAGTAGAGTTCTTCATCTATTCATTTATCTTCAAGTATTCAGAGCTATAAAAGCTGCACAACAAAGATTAACTCCAAATAATAATGGGATGAATCATTTTTAGTTGTAAAGACCACAAGCCAGGCAAAATATATGTATTGGCTGCCCTTTATGGACACAAAATTATTTTAGTAATTATGATAAGGATTAGTTGTTTTAGTTGAGTTTAATTTGGTAACAGGTTTGTATTTTTCCAACATTAGTTTAGTTCCTCAGGGTTTACGAACTCTGTTTGATTTATGGACCTACTCAACAGACTTAAAAGAGATTAACTCAAGCAGGAAACAAACTGTACAACTTTCCCATTTGAACTTAAAGCATATTATGAATTTGAACCACACAGGAACTGTACAATCAGTACTTTGCTCTTGAGACAGATACACATGGAGTCTCTTTGTTGTTTTTCCATTAAGTGATTCCTGCAGGAACTCAGAAGATTAGGGGGTCACTGCTCTACCCTAGGGAGAAACCACTGTCCACTTCCTGAGATGATATAGACTGCTGCAACGAAAGACAAAGCCACAGTGGCACCAGTCCCCTAATCTTACACAGATTTCAAGCTGTCTGTGGATGTGAGAAGAAGCCAGTGAGACAGGGAAATATTCCACTCAACAACCATCCCCCCCCTCGAGGAAGGGTCACTATCCCCTGCCGACCACAAGGAATTTGTTTTATATGTGTGAGATTTGCCTGGTGTTGGAGAAATTGTGATATTATTAATCAATTATTTGTTATTCTCATTGATCTTTATAATGTATCTTTAATTGATGCTTTCCTTAAAGTTAATCTCATTATAGAATTAAGAATGTTTCTTGTATTGTTGATTTACTCTGATTCTTTTCTCAGAAGGCTTCACTGACAAAGAGCAGAAACAAAATCTTCCTGCAGGTTTACCTCTTGGTGAAGAGCTCTGCTTCGGTTGAGTTGCTGGCCTCCAATAAAACCATCATTGCTAAGATCACTACATATTTTATTAATCTTTGTGCCTGGAAGGACATTATCTAGTACAGAATGATTGTGTGTTAGTTAGTGAATAACATTAGACGCTGTAGCTGTTTGCCCCCTCCCTTTAGAGCTACAGCGTCCTTGTGATTAGGGATCCTAGAAACAATAAAATAGAGGAGCAGACAAAATGTGCTTCAGAGCGGTAGGAGATTGTAACTGAAGCACATCTCTGTCCGTTCTCCTCGCGAGTGAAAGAAGAATCTAACTCTTTTGTCTTTTCTGTCTTTGTTAATGTATGTTTAACAGGTGTTAACCCTAACTTTTTGGTCCTTCGAGCCGGAGGTCATATACTGGAAAGATTCCGGCAGGTGTGGCGGACCCCAGTAAGACCGTGCGCACGGCAAGAGAACCTGTTAAAGGACTGGGTTCGGCCTGCCTGCTGGGATCTGAAGGTTGACGACACTCCAGGGAAAGACAAGAGAGGGTGAGTGATTCTTCTTTAAAAAGTGGCGAATGACGTTTTAGAGAGTAAGTCATTCTTCTGTGTGAGAGAAGAGTGACTTTTTCCTTGACTGAAGGTTGTTGCGCGCACAAGTGAAAACCCTGTCAATTCTAGACTCTAACAGGTAAAAATAGTTGCACAAAATCCGTGTAGGGCAGCGGAGTCCTGGCGCAAAAGTTCCGCGATAAGGTGTACGGAGCCTGGTGCTTCAAGGCTGGAGGCCTTGTCCTGTTCTGGGGAACCAACAATTGTACTATTGTGGGCAATGACAGTAGCCCAACAAAATACCTGCACTGTTTTGGGCAGTAACAGCAGCCCAATTACTAATTGTACTATTGTGAGCAGTAACAGTAGCTCAACTAGTACCTGCAGGCTAAACGGATTGCGGAGTCCGGCGATAACAGGCGCTTAAATTCCGTGATAAAAAAATAAAATAAACTAGAAAATAAGGGTTGGTAAACCTTACCTCGCTGGAGGTCTTGTAAAACCCTACTGGGACGAGGACTTGCAAACCTCACCTGGTTCGGGGTTTTGCAACCTCACGTGGTTTGAGATCTTACGAACCCCACCTGTTGTGGGAACGGGGCCCGACGAATACCCGTGGTTAAACGGACGGCGATAACAGGCGCTTCAAATCCGTGAAACAAAAAAAAAGTGTGTGTATGTGAGCGTGATTGGAGGTATAAATACCACTTGGTATTTTATCTCATGTAAAACAGTAGGATTGTGAGCAGCAAACCTCTTGTGGATGCACAGGCAAGAACTCTCCACTCGAAAGAGTTGAAGTGAGAGTTACCACAACAGGTTCTTTCAATTGCTGGCCTACTGAATCAGATCTCCAGTTTCTAGGACTCCCTAGGAGTCGGCAAAACTGGTCCAAATTTAAATAAATAAAAAAAATGGGTAAATGAATAAGTAAAACTAAGCCAACAGACAGTCTAAAATCAAACGACTGGAAAGTTATTAAAGATCAGGATAAAATAAAACAAAAAACAAATTCAAATAAAAAATTGTACGAGGAAGGGTATGATGATGTACAATTTTGGTTAGAAGTAGCGCAAAAAGGAGAAAGTGGGGAGAAAGAAATTACAAAAGAAAAGGAAAAGGTTCCAGGAGCCTTTTTCCAGGATGAGGAACAAATGTTCTATCAGGAGAGGAGAGGAAAAGAAGGCTTTAGGGCAGAGGTCAGAACCTTAGAGGTTTAAAAGGGAGACGTGGGAGAGGAAACTACAGGCACAGTTACTCGGGGCTGGTGTTGCGGGCAGGAAGGACATTTAGCCAGAAATTGCCCAAGAAAGAAAACAAAAAACACAGGACAGTCAGCATGATTAAGATCAGAGAAATTGGGAGTGAAGAGGTCCAGTTAAATCTTCAGGATTTACTTTCTATGGACAGCATAAGACCTGAAATAACTCTCCTAATAAATAGCAAACCTGTAAATTTCCTCTGTGACACGGGTGCATGTAGAACAACATGTAGAGAAAACATTCTTGGGGTAAAATATTTGTGGTGAAAATGTCAAGATCAGCTACAGGAATAAAAGAAGGGGACTTCTTTGTTGTCCAGGGACACAGGGAACTGTATTACTTTTATTCATTGGATGTGCCCAACAAACCCCCACACAACACTGCACAAAACACTTCTGGCAGAGGGGCATAAAGCCATTTCTGCCTACGGGATCAAATGTCTCCTGATGATTTGCACGTCACACTTTGGTTCAAAACAGTTCCTGGGCCTGATAGGAACTATGAAGCGAGACTCAACAAGGTCACCCCAGCCAAGATAACTGTGACCTATCTGTACACAGACACAAAACATGTGCCTGATCCACACAC